TAGAGGCCCTTGGGATTTTTCTTGTGCTTATCCCAAGGCAGAGTCCTGTGCTTGCTTCTGTGATGTAGTACCCAGGGGCTGGAGGCTTGTTCCAGTATCTGCTAGAGATTGGAGCAGAGGTCATGGGGTTGCTCCCTTATCTGTCTTGCTAAAGAGAGTCTGAAGTTTATCTGCAGAAACTATCCTGGGCAGGTGCCACAGAGCCCTATCTGCTACTGGATTGTACTGTGGTGTCCCTGGTACTTGGTTTCAAGCCTAAGGTCTGGACTTAATTCCTTCTCCTTCACCCAAACCAGGAGGCATTGAGTCTGTGCCCAAGCTCCTTGGAGCTTGGGAAGGGTAACATGGGCAATTCTTTCCTTCCTACCTTCTTCAAAGCATCTTGGTATTACACTAAAAGCAAGCACTGTGACCTCTCAGCCACTTCGTTAGCTCTTGTGAAGGTGCTATAGCATGGAAACAGTTGTTCAGATCAGTGTCTATGGGAAGACAGTCATTCACTGGAGCATCCTTTAAAAAAATACACACACACACACACACACACACACACACACACTTGGAAGGCAGAGTTACAGAGAGAGAGGAGAGACACAGAGATAACGTTCTTCCATCTGAAGGTTCACTCTCTAAATGGTTGCAACAACTGGGGCAGCCAGGAGTTTCATCCAGATGTCCCACATAGATGGCAGGGGCCCAAGAATTTGGGTCATAATCTGTTGCTTTCCCAGACACGTGAGCAGGGAGGTGGATCGGAAGAGGAGCAGCCAGGACACGACTTGCACCCATGTGGGATGCTGGTTCTGCAGGCACTGTACCATGGTCCTAGCCTCTCAATGGAGCATATTAACTGCCATCTTGTTCTGCCTCTGGATTTCTGTGGGGTGTGTGTGTGTGTTTGCACTAAAATTTATCTTTTAATTCCATATTCCATTAACTTTTGGAAGCACCATCATGTGGTATAATAACTGTTTATCTAGCATTTACATTGTATTCATACTATAATTTAGAAATTATTTAAAGTATTGGGGAAGCTGTACCTAGGTTATATACAAATGCTATGCCATTTTATATGAGGGACTTGAGCATGTGCAGTTTTGCTACTCTGAGGGTCCTGGAACCAATCCACCACAGTCACTGAGAACTGTATTTTAATAGTTTAAAAGCATTTGAAGGGGCTGGCATTATGGTGTAGCAGGTTTAGCTGCCACTTTGCAACATCAGCAAAATCTCATATCTGAGTGCCAGTTCAAGTCTGGTTACTCCACTTTTAATCCAGCTTCCTGCTAATGTGCTTGGGAAAGCAGCAGATGATGGCCCAAGTTCTATGACTTCTGTGACCTGTGTGGGAAACCCAGATGGAGTGCCGTGCTCCTGGCTTTGGCCTAACCCAGCCTTGGCTGGCGGTAGTGACCATTTGGGAAGTGAACCAGTGGATGGACGATCTACCTCTCCTACCTTCCCTCTCTCTCCCTTTTCCCCTACCATGTCACTCTGCCTTTCAAATAAATAAATCTTTAAAGAAAAACATTTAGAAGTCACCTGTCTTCCTCCATTAAAAATTTTTTTAAAAGATTGATTGATTGATAGATTGATTTGACAGAGGGAGAGATGTTTGATTTCCCTGGCATGATTTCCTTCCCCAATTCATGAACACTGTGCTGACAAATACACCCAGCTGTATGGTCCATTCACTTGCTGTGTGCCTGTTGCATTACATTTACCGTCTGATATGAGCTGCATGTTCGTGTCATCTTCAGGCCCCTGCCAAATTCATATGTCATAGCCCCAGCTCGCAAGGTGATTGTGTTTGGAGATAGGCTCTTTATGGAAGAGTTAAGGCTAAAAGTCCAAAATGATGGGGGACTGATCTGGTAAAATTTGCATCCTTTGAGAAGAGGGACCAGAGATCTTGCTCTCTGCACGTGCGTTACATTGAGGGAAGGCCATGTGAGCACGCTGAGAAAGTAGCTCTCCCCACATAGGAAGAGTGCCCTCACCAGAAACCAAAGCAGCTGGTACCCTGATGTTGAATCTGCTAGCCTCCAAAACTGAGGGAAAAAAATGTTGTTTGAGCTACCCAGCCTGTGGTAATTTGTTATGGTAACCTAAGCAGGCTAACCTAACCATGCCATTGCTGTATTGTAGCACTGAGTTCTACCTTATCATACCTTGGTGATTAATACTTATGAGATCTTATTACTGCTGTTGTACTCTCTGTGTCCAAAGTTCAAGGTCTGTTATCTGCTAAGGTGTCATCACTCTTCATCTTGACCATTTTTCTCCTTCTTTCCTTTGAGTTAGCAGACATCTCCTCGAGGCATCTTCCTTGACAAGCATGCCTCCTTACTAATGAAATTCACAGATTAAAGCCTTCTCAAGTCGTTGGTCCCCAAAGAATCACAAAGTTCTCAGCTTCCGTGCCAGCATCACTATTTTTCTAGTACTTTAAACCCCGCCCAGAAAACCAAATTCTACCCCGCAAATAGCTAGCTGATTGCTTCCCATGGCCTCCTTCCCTTCCACGTCTGGGTCCTTCCACCAGACAGAGAAGTTTCAGTACCACCGGGTCGCTGATGTTGTAAATCCTTCAGTGCTTCAAGTCCTCAACTTTTCTTCTCAGAGGCTTTGGAGAAAGGCTCTGCAGAGAGGAACCTTGGCTTTACAGATGGAGAAGCCGTGTTCGAGGTGTGGTGCAGTGGGGCGAGGCTGTGTGACTGTCGGCAGCCTCTCGGGCGTTTCTTAAGCTAACTGCGGCTGACAGCGGTGCCCTGGAGACACCCTCGCTGCTCTGGCTGTGTCACCCAACCTTTCATGATTCAGTGTGAGAGGAGGGTTGTGGTGTCGCGGCAGGTCCCGGTGGGCTTCACGGAGAACAGGGTGACATGATGGCCCAGGAGAGCAGCTCACCCAGAGGGCTGTGCACGTCTTCAAGGAGTCCCCTCCAGGGCCCTGATGGGAGCCTCCAAGCATCCCTCCTCCCAAGACAACAGGTGGCTTCTTGGAACCTTCCTGGAACTCTGAATTCCCTTACTGGTCTATGGAGCACTCTTCTCATTCCTAGCCTGAGAGTCTTGGATCACCCCTGCTGGAAGAATCTTGACTTGGCTGAGTAATGTCAGTGGCCTGGAATTTTTTCCATTTTCTCCTCTGTGTCACTTTTTTGTTTTCCTTCTACAACCAGATTCTGATCCCCTTTCAGTTTCTTCTCCCTTGGGCCTTTCTTTGTGGATTCTCTTCTCTTCTACCTGGGAACGCTGTGTCCCTTCTTATAAGTAAGGGTGTGGAGAGGAACCTTTCTGGAGCTTTTCTGCTTTTCTTTGCAGAAGCCAGCCTGCATTTGCAGCAGGCGTGCAGGGTAGGCCACTGCTTCACCGGGCACCCGGCTGCAGCCGCTTTGGCTGTTGCATTTTTCAGGGATCTCACATGGCCACACAGAGTTTCCCTTGGAAAGCCGGATTTTGCTCTGCTTATTTGCTGGCCAACAGCTCTGCAGGGCTTCCTAGAAATGCTTCCTGCCTGACTGCCGCACTAAGCTTCCTCGACTCAGTCCCCTGCGGACGAGTGGCCGATTGCACCAGGCTGCAAGAGCGGGGCTGGCCAGGTACAGAGAGCTCTTGAGCAAGGGAACTTCAAAGTCACGTACTTTCCCGCACCTGTTTGCCACTGTGTGTCGGAGCCGGTGTCAGGTTCTCCATGCTGGTCCAAAGCCCTCTGGAAACTTCTCATCACTTACTGACGGCACTTCTCATCTGGTGGCCCTCTCCTGACCTTGGAGAGCTCGCTGTCTTCCCATATTGCGTAAGGTAGTCCCTGGGAGTCTCTGAGAATATGGAAAATGTCTCTTCAAGTGCTCCCCCTGGAGCTGTTTTTGTTTTTCCCAGACTGTGGCTCGTGAGCCAAGAATGAAGCTCTTTCTGGCTCTTGCTTCGGCTTCTTGTGCTTGACAAGACTGCCCAGGCGTGAGCTGTAGGTTCACGTTCTGTACCCCACTCCCACACGTGGTGTGGCCTGGCCACCCTGCTCCAGAAGCTTTCGGTAGTTACCGATAATTTGGGTTATGTCTACCTGGCTGTATTTGTTTGAAGTGCTCACTTTGTCTCTAAATCAGTTGGTGGGCATTTGTAGTGTGAGAAACGGTCACTGCTCTCCCTGGAGCAAACCGTGGTGTGTGTTTCAAATCCTAGTCGAGGCCCCGGATTAGAAGAGGTGCCTTGCTGATGCTCTTCTGTCACTGCCTGGGGCGCGCCTGGGAAGACTTGGGAGCTCAGCTGTCAGCCAGGCGCTCCGTCAGGAGTTCACACCGGAGACTGGTGGAGATGGCACGTTGGATTTATGAGAGCAACAGAAACAAGCTTCTTATAGAGCTTTAGGCTCCCAGAAACAAACTCTGTAGTCTAACATTTCATTCATTCCCTTGAAATATATTGAGGACCTATTATGAGCCCCAAACATGAGCCCCAGATACTGTTTTAGAAAAGAGAGGAGAGGCCGGCACCATGGCTCACTAGGCTAATCCTCTGCCTGCGGCGCCAGCACCCCAGGTTCTAGTCCTGGTCGGGGCGCTGGATTCTGTCCTGGTTGCTCCTCTTCCATGCCAGCTCTCTGCTGTGGCCCGGGAGTGCAGTGGAGGATGGCCCAAGTGCTTAGGCCCTGCACCTGCATGGGAGACCAGGAGAAAGCTTCTGGCTTTGGATGGGCGCAGTGGGCCGGCCGTAGTGGCCACTTTGGGGGTGAACCAACGGCAAAAGGAAGACCTTTCTCTTGTCTCTCTCTTTCTCACTAAATCTGCATTTCAAAAAATAAATAAATAAATAATTAAAAAGAGGAGAGATAGCCACTGGCACAAGCACTCATGGAGCTTACCTTCTAGGGAATTGCTGCATAAGTGAATGGTTTGGTTTGTATTTGGTGGAAACCACCCCAGAATTGACGTGTACAGTAACCCAGAGACAGGAAGCATGAGAGCCTGGCTGGGGTAATCATTAGTTTCTGGCTTTCAGGGACAGCACGCGAGATTCAAGAAGTACGTGGGACACAGTGCACACGTCACCAACGTGAGATGGCTGCACAACGACTCTGTGCTGCTCACTGTGGGTGGTGCCGACACAGCCTTGATGATCTGGACCAGGGAGTTTGTGGGGACCCAGGAGAGCAAGCTGGTGGACAGTGAGGAGTCAGACACCGACGCAGAGGAGGATGGAGGTGAGCCCCAGCCTGCCACGCGCCCCTTCTGCCTGCCGCATTTCCTGCACCTGCTCTCCTGAACCATGGCAAGCCAGTTCACCTCTCCTCCAACTTGTCTGTGTTGCTTGAGGCTATGACAGCGATGTGGCTCGAGAAAAGGCTGTGGACTACACCACCAAGATCTATGCCGTGAGCATCCGGGAGATGGAAGGCACCAAACCACATCAGCAGCGGAAAGAAGTCTCCATGGAAGAAAGGTATGGTGTTGCCAGGTTTGTCAGCTTCTGTTGTACCTGACAGCAAGAAACGTTAACATGGTCTGTTTCCTTTGCCCTCCAAGTTACTACCTGAGCAAATCTGCATGGAGTCTTAAGCTGTACACTGGCTAAAGCTGGGGAAATTGCCCAGTGCACAGAATTCATGGCAAAAGGTAGATCGTGCTTCGCAGAGGTGTGTTTGCAATATGCCATGAGTGGATGGGAAATTCGGTTGGACCAGACTTCACCTTACCTGTGCTGATGAAAGGCAGAGCAGAGAGGGCGACTTCTAAGGTCATACAAGGATATTTGTGGCTTTGTGTTGTTTGTGAAAACTGTCAGAACTTTATGCTCCGTCCCTTGCTGTACTCCCTCTGACTTTGTCTTCAGGTACCTACATTGGTTCACGTGGGAGCCGCAATTCCAGGCCTAACTCATTGGATTTTGTTGCCTTGAATGTTCTTCATAGAAAGAGGGTTTTCAAGATGTTAGGCCTATTTGATACGCTATTCAAAGTATTGCTTGTTTTTTTGTTTGTTTGTTTGTTTGTTTTTGTTTTGACAGGCAGAGTGGACAGTGAGAGAGAGAGACAGAGAGAAAGGTCTTCCTCTTGCCGTTGGGTCACCCTCCAATGGCCTCCGCGGCCGGCGTGCTGCAGCCGGTGCACTGCGCTGATCCGATGGCAGGAGCCAGGTACTTATCCTGGTCTCCCATGGGGTACAGGGCCCAAGCACTTGGGCCATCCTCCACTGCACTCCCTGGCCACAGCAGAGAGCTGGCCTGGAAGAGGGGCAACCAGGACAGAATCCGGCTCCCCGACCGGGACTAGAACCTGGTGTGCTGGCGCCGCAAGGCGGAGGATTAGCTGGCCAGTATTGCTCATTTGTCAAACACTTCAGTAATTTTGAAAGAGAAAAGCCTATGGATACTACAGTTACTTATTTTACCGTATGCATACCAAGGGCAGATACACATTAAATACAAAGTCTAATATTGAAAGAATTTCATGGGTCTCAAAAATGGTTTAAGCATTTTCTGTGGGGTCTTCACCTTGGGGCGAGTGCCATGTTCAGGATTACACTAGACCCATGATGTGTGGTTTGTAAGATTCAAGTCATTTGCATTTGCTATGGCTTCCTGCCTAATAAGAACCACTTAATACATCCCATCTCTCACCTCCCGCTGTTAGTGGGGCTCGAGATACAAAGAAATAAAATGGAATTTCTCCTGCAGCTTCAGTTCAGAGTGAGTTGTTAAGAGAAGCTTGGTAAATGGTGGGTGTGCTTCTGGCAGCATTGGCTCTGATGTGAAAAGGCCCTAATTTTCCCCCTGCCTCTTTGTTAGACATCACTGTGAAAGTTTGGAGTTCTCTTTTGATTAAAAACAAATTACAGGGATTTTTCTGCCATGGTCTGTAAAGTACATTTTCTTTTACTTGCAATTGATTTTAAGAAGAAAATAACTTTGAAGAATTTAAGAAGTAAGAAAAGAAAGAACCATATGCACACAAGTGCATGAATAGGCCTCCCACTTAAGTAAACCGCTCTAAAAAAATTTGGCCTAAATTAAACATTCTTTTGGGGAAAAAAATAAAACATGATCCAGCCTTTCTACTTTAACGTCCTGTTATGAAGTGAGTTGACATGGCTGTCATTCTAAGGTGCTTTCTAGTTGAGTTCTCCAACCCAGTGGTGTATCCTGCTGAGATTTAGGCGAGGCCCTAAAACACCATTGTCAAACCAAAATCCTACACCCCAAACACTACAGTTGATTTCATATCTAAACCATGGCTCATCTAAACCTCTCCTGGTTTCATTATTCCTTTGGACAGGTCTGTACGAATCTTAGGCTGCTCTGTTCAGGAAAATGTGTGAGTTGTCAAGGTGGAGAGGACCCTAAGGAGAGTTTCCCATTTTAAAAGGCAGACTTTTGAAGTTATGTCAATTTCTTTCATCTCACCATATTGGAAACGTATTAGCATACACTAGATGGGCTCTTTGCTTTTTCTTTTTTCACAAAAGGAAAAAAACATGCTTTGTAATACTGTGAGATCCAGGGGCTGGCATGTCAGTATGTGGCTGGCATTGTAAAAAATAATTCACACCAGGACGTAGTGAAGAAGACAGCTCTAAGATAAGTATAGGGTCTAGGGGGATAATGAAGCCTTTTCTGTTGAAGGCAACTTCCCTGACAACTCGAACGCCTTGACGGCATCAGCTTCCAGAGGGAGGCGTAACCAGAGATTACACTGCCAGCTGCACAGCGGGACCACTGCAGGCAGGGGCGAGCAGTGAGCAGCAGTGGATGGTGATTGACTCAACAGCCTCCCTAGAGGCTAATCATAATCAGAACCAAGAGCAAGCCGTCTCCACTCGTCCTGGTCAGTCATTTTAGGGGAACCTCAACCTCAGATCTAACTTTACTGAGCCCCAAAAAGGAAATGCCAGGCAAGGTGGGGTGTTGGGAGAATTGCAGAGCGCAAGATGAGTGATAGACTGTGTGGAGCAGGACTGGGGTGGGGAAGACTGGACGAGAAGTCACGGGGCACAGCACACCTTAGTCCTCAGCTCCAACACCAGCCTGGCTTTGTGGACTCCAGCATCCTGGGATTGACAGAAGAGTAGACATAAAGATGGTCTGAGTGCCTCAGACCTCAGGGGCCAGGAAAGGGAGCGGCAGACAGCTTCTCTCTGGGAGAGTTCAGGACTATCAGCCGACAGTCCTGCTCTTTCAAGAAACAGGAGCTGGCCTTGGCCTTGTCGTTCCTTGTGCGGATACGTGCAAATGCCTGCATATGCACCACCAAGACTAACAGGAGACAAGACTTCAAGGACCAACCGGAGATATGGAACAGCTACTCCATGCAGGGACCTATTTGGCTTCTTAGCAATCTTTCAGGCAGTTTTGCCTGTGGTTTACATCCTTTTCCATCCGTTGAAAAGCAGACAGAAACTGTGAGATGAAGGCACCATCTGTCATGTTGAGAAAAATGTCTTGCAGGCAGCTGTACATTATGCATCAATCATTTTTTAAGCAACTGCTTTCCTAATTCCAAAATTTTAAAATAGTCATGGGTTGTTTCTAATTAGATTCAGTTATTTTATTTTAAAATGGCTGTGAGATTGTAGATTGTACTTGCTTGTACCATTTTTAACACATTGTGACTTCTTAGTCTTCAGATGTCATACATCTACAGTTTTAATCTTTTGAGAAGTAGCAAAGTTGAGGGGAAAAAATTATAATTTCTCACAAAAGAATACTGGCCTGTCCTTCCCAGCTGTGTAATTGGTTTTGGGTGTTTATCCTGCGTTCTGGTCCCCCTGGCCCGTGCCAGCTCACCGGGTTGCCCTGTCTCCTTGACCTGGAGTTGTCTAGCCAGTCCCCGGGCACGGGTGAACCCTGGGGTGATCCTGCTGCTCAGCTGAGGGAAGTCACGAAGCCTGCTCTGATTTCGGGCACTCGTGTTCTCACTCCTCCTCAGGATACGCAGGGCTGTCCCCGCGCTGCTCTCCTCCAGCCCCAGCTGACTCGGTTCTAATTTTGGTCCGCAGGAATCTTTCTAATCCCCTGCCCCAACTTCTCAAGTTTCCGACTCCAACCTGACACACTCCTGCTCCCAGATTTTGACTTCATCTCCTGCCTTGGCTTATTGGCCGTAAAGTAATGGCAGATGGGTTCATCTGCAGACATAAAGTATTTAACAGATATTTAAAATGTTGAGATGTTCCTTTTCAAAAAGAAGGAAGTAGGGAAAGTTTTTCAGAACAGTTTAAGGTATTAAAAATGCTGCCGTCATTAGCACCAAGAGTGATGCACACGTCCTGTGCTCTGACTTCAGCAAAGCAGCACTTCCCTCGAACTCGTCAGGTGACAAAATCCCCAGTGTTGTCTCAGGGCCAAATTGCTAGAGTTGCCTGTAAAATGGAGGTCTTTCTCTTACCACATTGCTGCAGTCACACCCAGTTTGTCTATCGTGTTTTGATTTTATAGTGTACGGCTTTTCAAGGGGGTTACCCAACCCAAACTGGCATGAGTCAGGAAGCACACAGCTGTAAATGCAGGAATGGACAACTCTGGTGTTGGAGTGAGGACTCCGTCTCGCGCCAGGGTTCTGCTCTCTGGTCATTTCTCCGTCCCTTCTCTGGCTGTGGCAGTTTGAGGGGCAGTGGCTGTACTCCCCCGATCTTATATTTTGTGCAGCCCCAAAATCAGCAGGGACTGATTCCTAAATCCTTGCTAATGACTTGGGATGGCCTTGGGTTGGCTCTGGTGGTTCACATGGCTACCCTTGAACCAATCACTAAGGCCTAAGAGGGGAATAAAAAAGAGCTTTGATGAACTGTTCCGAAGAAAAGAGTCATGTGCTAGCAATGGAGTCACCTCCAGCAGAACCAAAGCTCCAGAGCTGGTATCAAAACTAGGATGATTGATTTCTACAAGGACCCAGAACAGCAGATTGTCCTGTGGCCAACCACAGCGTTAGCATGTTAACAAGGCATGGTAAAGAGAGCACAGAATGAGGATAATTTTCTAAACACCACTTTGAAGGAGAGAGAACAACATGGAATATGCAGTGGTCCCTGATCCCTGCCTGTATTATCCTCAGCTGATAGGATACGAAAGAATTGCGGGCCTTGCCTTGTGTATGTTTTTTTTTTTTAATTTTTTTAAATAAAAAGATTTATTTATTTATTTGAAAGAGTTACACAGAGAGAGGAGAGGCAGAGAGAGAGAGCAAGAGAGGTCTTCCATCTGCTGATTCACTCCCCAACTGGCCGCAATGGCCAGAGCTGTGCCGATCTGAAGCAAGGAGCCAGGAGCTTCTTCTGGGTCTCCCACATGGGTGCAGGGGCCCAAGGACTTGGGCCGTCTTCCACTGCTTTCCCAGGTCATAACAGAGAGCTGGATAGGGAGTGGAGCAGCCGGGTCTCGAACTGGCACCCATAAGGAATGCCAGCGCTTCAGGCCAGGGTGTTAACCTGTTGCACCACAGCACAGGC